GACGGCACCTTCCCCACCATGAAGCCATTCCAGTACCTGGAAGAAGTGCACATCTCTCACGTGGGACAGCCTATGCTCAACTTCTCGTAAGTCTGGAGGCTTGGCTGCGTTGGCAGCAACATTTGGATCACAGCAGGTGTGGCTGCAGGGAGATTTGTTCATATTTCTATTCCAGTTCCAAGTAAACAAGTTTTCATTTACCAAACAAGACGGTGTAATGACATGTGGCTGGGTGGCCTGATTTGTTTGTTTCCCTTTAAAACTGCTGATAAATGGGTGTGCTGTTGTGATGTGCCCAGAGCTGCTTGCTTGCAGACTGTGAAGATTCACCAGCCTAGAAGTACCACAGGGCTTTTCAGAAGTGAGTTCACACCTCTGTTGTTGATGTGCACCTATACAGGGTCACTGTGACAGTGGCAGAGTGTGCATTTCGTGTGGCCTGCCAGTCCTTAGGGTTATGTGCACCCCAAACAGCCCCATCCTAGACTCAGCCATCGCTGTTGTTTGAGCAGGTTCAGCACCTGTCCTTGAAAGGTCTGCTGTCCTTCCACATTCATGTGGTGTGCTCCAGTGCATGTGTTAGGCAGAAGATGTGCAGTCCCTCTGGCCAGAGAAGACACTGTTCCTGTTGCCAGCGGTAGCTGTTTAATTAGAAATGAATCCTCAGGTAATGGTGTTATCCTAGAACTGCTATCACTCTGCTTTTCAAGCTGCCACTTACGGATATGAATGAAGGAGCTGTGCTGTGGCTCCCGAGTTTGTCTGCTTAAAACTGGTCCTCAATCTTCACCTTCAAAAAAAATGGAGGAAAATTAAATCAAATGTTCAACAAGCAGGATGCTGGGCAGGCAGCCTAGCTGTATGGTGGCAAGTAATTGTTCAGGCACTGAGAACTGCTTTAGTTCAGTTCCTTCCCACTTGGAGTCTCTACGATCCCAGCATGATGCACGGCTCCATAGGCTGCACTGGCTGCAGAGCACAGCTGGGCTGTCAGGACAGCCCTCAGCATGGATGCAGCCTGCTGCAGCAGCTTGCCTCTGCCTCCTTCTCACAAGAGGATGAGGAGATGGAAATGCGAAGACAAATGATGTGAAAAGAAAGAGATGAGTCTGGAATATGTGAGCCATAATACACCAGTGGAGCAGACCATTGCATTATGCAGCTATCAGTGTGTTTAAGTTGCTGTTTAATTCAGTCCCCTGTGTAGATTCAGGAGTGCTAATGTAATTTATGATCGTGTGTAATAATACATAAATAACAGCTGTGATGTCGATGACCTAGTATGCAGCTGTAAGGCATCCTGAAGATGCCTAGATAGGCATCTGAGCTGATTTATTTTGCTCTTCTTTTTGAGGTGGGGAAGAAATAAGTGTGCAGTGTTGCTGCCTGTGGCAAGTAATGTACAAGGAAGAAAAAGACCGCCAGATTTAAAAGCTTAATAAAGGTGATATTGCAAGGCTAGATGTTTATTTGAGAGAAGGAAGGTTTTGAGATGGAATACACCTTCAGCATCAGTGCTGTGTCTTACTGTAACCCAAGGGAGTTTCTGAGCTAGCTCTTAGAGCAAATCTGAGGTCTGAACTTATGTAGCAGGTTCCACTTTTTTGGGACCTAGGTGTGTGAAGGAGCTGTCCTCTTACACGCTCACATTTTCTTACCATGAAGGATGCTCAGCCTCGTACTCTACAAATAACACTGCAGGCAGGCTTGTGTGGTTAAATGCAATGTGGTTTCCTCTAAGATGAAACCAGGCCGAAGCCTGTATTTGCAGTGCAGCAGTACAGCAGCTTTTGGTATTCTGATCTCCCCTCAGATTCAATGCCTTCCATCCGGACACCAGGAAACCAATGCACCGAGAATGTGGATTCATCCGCCTCAAACCTGACACTAATAAGGTGGCCTTCATCAGCGCCCAGAACACAGGTACTGCCTCTCTGGGGAAGAGGGAGGCCCTTGTCCTGCTGTGCCTTTCATCACTCTTCCTCTTTAGCAGTTTCTTTTCATGTATTTTCACTGTGGGTTCAGCACCTCCATCCTGCTATTGATGAGCACCACGTTGCTGGGACTGGCTTAGCCCAGCCAGCAAGGCTTTGTGGCTGTCTCAGTCAGGAAGGGACCACAAATCCAAATACCACACATGCACGAGATGGGGGCACCCTTTCCTAAAATAGTATGCTGATATTTGCAGGCACAGATTTTGAAAACAAAGGAACCCTTTGATTCGTGCCAGGAGTTGCAGTCTCAGCCTTAATGATGGGCTGTTATAAGGGGCCAGTGGCATTCTTGTTGCCTTTGTGGCATCCAGGTCTTTTTGTGCGGAGAGAAGGGAGGAACGTGTCCAGATGAGCTGCATCATTCCCACTCTTCACATGAGATCTTAAACTAGGAGAATTTCCCACTGTTTGGAGGTAGTGCCTCACTGTGCACTGACAGAGACCAAATGAGAGACAGAACTACATCTACACTGTCGTAAGTGAAGAAATTTCAAACCCAGCTGATGCTTAAATTTGGATCTAAGACCACAGAGCAGGTGCTGAATGGAAAATTGCCAGTTGCAATGTGATACTCATCCCACACTGAGAGTAAGTCTGGCTGGGGCTTCCAAGTAGCGTTATGTTTCTGAGGTTGCATGGATTTGCAGTTGTTGATATGTGCTAGGTCAAGGAAAAACGTTCTTTGTCTGTGTAGCCTAATAATTGTGACATTTTATTAATTAACCTTTGTTGCCTGGTATTTATGACTTCGCTTTCTCATTAGGTCTTGTGGAGGTGGAGGAAGGGGAGGTGAATGGTCAAGAGCTGTCTATAGCTTCTCACTCCATAGCCAGGATCTCCTTTGCCAAGAAGCCCCATGTAGAGCAGGTGAGTTCACGCTCGGTCAGCGATTCAAATCATCATGTTAGCCCAGGGGTGTCTGTTTGAGAGGGCAGGTTGATTAACACGCTTTCATTACAGATTGCCTCAGGTGCTCTTGGAAATATTGCACAGCATCCTTGCTTATCTTCTCTCTGAGTTTTCAGAAGCCGTTTCATAGCTTACAAGATGAAAAGGGATCACAGATAAGAGCTGCCATGCTGAGTCAAAGCAGCCAGCTACAGCCCTGTCTCCACCGTGGCAGCAGCAGGTCCTTATGGAAGAAGATAGGAAAGTCTTGTCTAAACAGCAGCACTGAGCCCACAGGAAAGGGCTTCTCTTTACAGAGGCAGCCACGGATCAGCCCACTCTGCAGATACGGATCTCTGCCACGCTGCCCTGCCTGATCACACGTCCTTTCCAAGATTGCCTTCCGCAGCTGTGGGACACAGAGCACCCTGTGTCTGTTCTGATAGTCATCATGGATTTCCTCCTTTGCTGTCATGACATCAGAACAATTTGCATATGCACTGATACTGCTACTGATAACGGGTCAAACCAGGCTGTTCAGCAACCTTTAATTTGTCTTTTCCTGTTTCAGAAAGCAGCCAGGGCAAGCTGAGGGTGGGTTGATAAGGCCAAGGTGGTCTTAAGAGAGCAGGAGCACCAGCTGTGTGTTTGGCAAGCACGGGCTGCTGAAATAAGGAGGGGATGTGTTACTGCTGGTGTTAGGCACATGTTGCATCTGTAGAAACAGACGTGTTAATGGGGCAGGATGCTGGTTTAGAGCACGCAGACTGGCAGCAGCTTGTGGATGTGCCCTTGAGTCACCTTCATGGGAAATGAACATGTCTGTGAAAGCCTCCTTTCCCTTCCATGTCTTCAAGACCAGCTGAAATCCTGGAGCAGCAAGGATCCTGGTGTCTTCCTGCTGGCCTTCCCCTGGCACAGCTGGGTGGATCACCCCGGTGGTGATGTGAACGTGGCACTTTGGAAAGGCTGTTGGTTTTTTAGCTGTTAAGGTGAAAGGGAGCTGGTCAGAGCAGGGATGTGTACACTTCAGTATATCCACTTGGCAAAGCCTTATGGTGAGGCAGTTAGAAAAGTGCTCTGTGAATCCATGGGGTGCTTTTCGACCACACTGTGCTCCTAATGATCTTTACTTTCTTCTTTCTTGTAGAAATTTCTAAATGGAGCTGGTTTAATTAACTGCCAGTTAATCATACTTGCAGGTCATCCTGCTGTCCCTAAGAGCTGGGCAGATGGAGCAGTACTCTTAAGTATTATTTTGAACCAAGAGCTGAGATTTACAATGGCCCTACTTCTCTTCCTTATTACATAGACACCTAAGAGCAGACTTAACAACATGTGCTAAGCCCAGATCTGAACACAGCCTGAGCAGCTTGGAAGTCGCTGATATCAGGGTTCGAGCTTCTGCTTGCACAGCTCCTGGGCTTCGTAGCTCTGCAGGGTAACCACAGATTGGTTCTGGGGAGGGAGGTTTAGTGCAGTATGAGCAGTGCAAGGAGGACTGGGGGAGACACTGCTGGTTGTCGGCCTGTCTGTAGGAGGGGGTGGCTGTAATGGTGCCAGGCAGTGTAACGCAGAGGTCTGCTGCTTCGCTGTCCCACAAAACACCTCACCGAGAGCAGCCATGGCTCCAGCAGACAATTTTTAGTGAGGAATGCAGTTTGCTTGATTTATGAGATATTTCTTTTCTTACCCCTTTCTCAGATTACCAGAAAATTCCGTCTCAATTCCGATGGGAAGCTAGAACAAACAGTCTCCATGGCGACCACTACACAGCCCATGACGCAGCACCTCCACATCACCTACAAGAAGGTGACACCCTGATGGCAGGAGGGCCAGGGTGAGGAGCTGGGCAATGCCCCCCGGGAGCAGCAGTGGCTCGGGGATGTGGGATGGTGAAGGCTGGAGCCAGGTACCTGTGCTCAGCCCTGGCCGTGCGGAGCTGCCCATGCTGGTGAGAATGTTAGCGGATGTTCCTGTAATGGTATATATAAAAAAATAATAATAATAATAAAAGCTTTTATTTTTACGGCTGTGTTTTTGGGTGTGATTGCTGAGTGGTCTTTGAGGCCTTCTGTGCTGCAGGTGGGGCCTTTGGGTACTTAGAATCATGGAATCGTTCAGGTTGGAAGAGATCAGTGTTTGTTTGTCAGTATGCTTCAGGGGTAGAAAGGGTGATGGATTCAAGCTTCTGCTTATTGTCTGACTGTGCCACAGAAGCAGCAGGATTAGGAATGGGTTTGCATTATAGGGATCAACTGTGAGACCTCCAGCTCCTGCCTGATGTAGCTCAGCTCACGATTCACACACCTCTTCCTGTGTGACAGAGCTGGAGCGGGACCAAGAATGAGCAGAGCTGGATGATCTTCAAGGTCCCTTCCAACCTAAGCCACTCTGTGATTCTATGACCTGCTCCCCCATGGACTTTGAAGGCTGTTGGGTCAGGTCCTGCAGGAATCCTGTTTCTCACATGCAGGCCCAGAGGCCAGAACCAGACCTCTGGCTTCTGTACAGAATGCTGCTAGAGTACAGGTGAAGAGTCACTGAGCAGCAAAAGAAACTTTAAACAGTGGGGACTGGGAGGTGAGAGAAGGGGCTCCCCAGAGCTCACGGTGCAGGAGATAGTTGTAAGGGTGGGTAAGGATGAGAAAGGGATTTATCTTGAGTCAACGTCTGTGATTTAGTATATGCAATGGATGAATTGTGTCTTTTCAGACAGATCTGAATTCAGGGTGCCTGCTATTGCCATCTGAAGGACTAAGTGGGAGCTCTGTGGAAGGCCTGTGGGTTGCAGTGCCCTTCTAATGGCTGCTTCTATTCATGTCTGGTTTGCACCCGTAGCTTCCTCACAAGCCAAGGTCAGAGACTTGGCCAAAGGTTGTGTGACTGTGAGGGTCCTGGTGGGCACCAAGGTGGGCAGCAGGGTGCTCAAGCTTGCTTCTGTCCATTTTTGGTCCCTGAGCTCCCCAGCTCCATCTCTGCTGTGCCTGGGCTGGTGGCAGCGGTGCCCTCGGAGCGCTGTCCTGCTGGGGGGCCGGAGGCCGGCTCTGTAATGGATCCTCACCAGGTGGTTACCGTTTAGAGGCTTTGATCTCCTGCTGCTTCATTTTTTTTCCAGCCCCTCGATTGAATTTCTCTCATGTAACCGAGCTCCACTGATATATTCTGGCCATATATAATGGATGGAGGTTGAATGAGGAAACAAAAACAGCGCTGAATATCGGGAGCAGCCATGCGGGTCCTGCAGTCGGACCCCCTCCCTGCCACCGCCCCACAGGTGTGTGCAGTTGGGCACAGGGTGCCTGCACTCACATCCAGCCCTGAGCCAGCCTTGGATTGTGCATCGCTTGACCTGGAGGTTGGTGCAGTGGATACGTCAGGACGGTGGGTGCCGGGCTCCATCCCTCCTCCATCTCCACATCATCCTATTGATCCTAAAGCCCATCAAGGCTGTGCCAGCACTGCTGTATCGGCTGCATCTTTGGCTCCTGCAAGGCTGGTGGTGAGCCGGCGGCCGATGCCGGCCAGCACATTTGCTTCACTAATGAGGCTCCTTCTTTTCAAGGGCTTTGAGATAACAACCTGCGGTGTGAGCAGCAGCACTGGGATCCAGTTGCTTGTTTTTTGCCCAGGACGGGGTGCGGGCAGCACAGTGCTCCCGGCTCCATGTTCCTGGGGGGCCACCCTGCCCCCCATTCTCCCCGGCTCCGTGCAGGTGAGAAGCACCCCGCTCTGCTGGACGGGCACCCTGGGATGAGCCTGCACTGCTGAGCCCCATCTTCTGCTGCAGCCCTGTGAGCACTGCCTGTGGCAGCGAGCCCCGAGGTGAGTGAGTGCTGGGAGAAGGGATGGGGAAAAAGAAGGGCTGGCGGTGGAGGGGAGCACAGCCCCACGTGGCTGTGGATAGGGGGGTCCCTGTCTCTGTGGGCATCGTGGGTGTCCCCCAGGATGTCCACCCACACAGACCCTCTGTGCCCTGGGGCAGCTGCTGTCCCTGCAGTTCAGCCCGAGGCAGGCATGGGAACACTGCTGCTGGCACCCGCCCAAGCGGATCAGGAAAGTGTCTGCAGTGGGGCCACTGCTGGGCAGGTGAGAAGGTAGCCAGGAAAGGTCTTGCCCAGCCTCCTGCGCCTCAGCCGTGTGCAGGGTCAGGCTGGGTTGCAAAGCCTGGGCATGCAGAAATGCAGAGCTGCTGCTGGGGTGGGGCTGTGCTGCTCTGCAAAGAGCCCTCCTGAGCACAGCAGTGCTGTACACCATCGCAGCTACCCCAGGCCCAGCTCCCCTTCTCTGCACTCCCCAGGGCTGCCAGTGAGGGTGTCTGCTGTGCCCAGGAGCAGAGCACCCAGCCAGGGCCATGCTGCAGTGTGAGCTGCAGGATCTGCAGGTCCTCCCTGCGGGTGGATAGACACGAGGAGCACAGGGCTGTGTCAACAGATGCGCTCACAGCTTCTCCTGGTTCTCCTCATCTAGCTGTGAGTGCTTTGCCTAGCATAAATGTCTGAACACATTTCTCTGCCCTCACTCCTGTGCTGGTTCTGCTGTCTCTCCCAGCAGAGCGAGGATGCAGACTCCTCTTCCATCCCACAACATGTCCCCGTACCCCTGTCCCCACAAGGTCCCAGACACGAGGGTGATGCAGCCCAACGAGCCACCGCTGCCTGAGCTGAAGCTCCGCAGACCCGTACAGCGGGGAAGGATCCCGGCGCCCTTCATGGACCCGGTACGTCACCACACCGCTCCGCCATCCCGTGCTCGTGTCCCTGCCCTTCCCCTTTGCACCAGGCAGGCCCGGGGGAACCGTGCTGCTGCACAGGGCACGGCAGCGGAGCCGGCAGCACCCTGGAAAGACCCCCACGGCACCACCGCAGTGGACCCTCTGGATGTGGACGCCTTGGTGCCCACGCATGACGAGCGGGGCCGCGCCATCCCTGAGTGGAAGCGGCAGGTGATGGTGCGGCGGCTGCGGGCACGGCTGGCGGATGAGGTGCCCGTGTGTGATCAGGTAGGGCCGGGCTGTGGGTGGGACACAGCTGGGTCCCACATGTCTCTGCATCCTGATGGCTTCCTGCTGCAGGAGCCGGGCGCCTGGCGTTTCTCACCGTCCCACGAGGCCGTGCTGGGCCCATTTGGTGAGCTGCTGACCGAGGCCGACCTACAACAGCTGGAGAGGGCAGTGGAGAGCCTGCGGCTGCGGCGCCGAGGAGAGGCCTACCAGGACGAGCTGCAGCGCCTGGCGCAAGAGCTGCGCACCTTGCTGCCCTCCCCGCTGCTCAGCATCACCGTTCACAGCCCTCCTCCCGCCCCAGGGCAACCCTTACCGCTTTGGTGCGGCCGCCTGGCCGGTGTGGTAGGCAGCCTGGAAGCGCTGTTGGCCAAGGCCGAGGGGGCTCGTGGCAGCCCCGTGCCTGCCCCGCCGCCCGCACCGCTCCCTGCAGCCCCGCGGACGCCGTCGGGCAGCGTGGCACAGCGGGAGATCAGGCAGTGCGGGGTGAGCGTGAGCAGCCTGCGCGGGGCCTTCGAGCGGCACGGCGGCGGGGAGAGCGAGACCGCAGCGGTGGTGGAGGCCGCCAGCGACTCGGGGATCAGCTGCGAGGAAGCGCCGTCGGAAGGCAGCGGCTCACCGGTGCCCGAGTCAGCCGGCCTGCGCAAGGAGCGCATCGTGCTGCTCTTCCTCAGCCATTGGAAGCGCTCGGCCGGAGGCCTCAACGCTTGGGCTGCGGCGTGCCGGGCGCTGCAGGCTCAGAGGGAGAGAGCGGGCGCTCCGGGCGAGGAGCAGGCGGGCAGGAGGGGCCGCCTGTCGCGGCAGTGCAGCGCCATCCAGCAGCTCCTGGGCAGCTGGAGGGACGTGGCCGCCTGCCCCCCGCCGCCGCTGCCCCCCGCTGCGGGCAGCCCCCGCTCCCCGCTGTCCCCCGAGCAGTTTGTGCGGCGCGCCGACGGGACGCCGGCCGACTACGACAGCCTGACGCTGGAGCTCTTCATGCTGGGCTACTTCCGCATCCTGGAGCGGGAGCTGCCCCCCGAGGAGCGCCGCGGCCGCCACCTGCTCTGCTTCGAGGTGTTCGACCACCTGGGCCGGCACGGCTGGGACACAGCGCGCGCCTTCCACCGCGCCGTCACCGACGAGATCGCGGCCGGCCGGCGGGGCTGGGGGGACGGCTTCGAGGACATCAAGGAGCGCTTCTTCGGCACCGCCAAGGGCTCGGCGTGGAGAGCGGGGGGAGCAGGGGGCAGCCCCCCGCAGAGCGCAGCCCGCCGTGGCCGCAGCAGCCAGGAGGAGATCTGCAGGTGCATCGACCGCAGCTTCGCCTTCTGGAAGGAGAAGGAGGCCGAGATCTTCAGCTTCGAGGAGTGACGCCTCATGACACCCGTGGACGCCCCCTCTGTGCTTCTCAAAGGGCCTCAATAAAAGCGTTTCAGTTCTGTCTCAAAAAAAAACCTCGAGATATTTTGGAGTGATGGAGGACGCCCTGCTGAGTGCCCCGGCGCCGTGGAGACCCGGCCGCTCGGTGCCGGCTGCTCTGTGTCTGCTGCCACCCGCTGTGCTCCACCTCTGGGCCGAGATACGAGCCTATATTTAACAGCTAGCCCCAGGCGGGGGAATGGGTCGCAGCCATGTGCTTGAATAGCACAGGGGTCTTTCTTGCCCCTCCTGGGCACACGCAGCAGCACGGTGCTCTCAGTAACCTGGGAGGGTGATTTCCCCCTCTGCACCCTTAGGTGCCCATGGTGGCAGCAGGCAGCTCTGCTCCAGCGGTGCCTTTAAGAGCACTGTCCCCGCCCCGGCTAAAAATACCCCCCCAGCTCAGCCCCCGCCACCACCCCGCGTGTCCCTCCCGTGCCCTGCCACTGCCCTCCCTGCTGCATGGGACACGGCGCGCTCTGAGCGGGGCACAGCCCAGGTAGGAGTGGGGTGGG